AGTAAAGTAGAGTGTGTTAGTGCTTTTTATTTAGCTGAAGAACATAGGTTCTAGGTCAGAGACACCTACATGTCAGCGAGAACATTCACTTTCTGAGAAAGCTTGTTTGGCTAAACCTTTCATCCAAATCATACGCAAAGTTATGCAAAAAAAACATAAACAGCAGGGAGGTTAAAAAAAATGTTCATCACGTAAAACCTCATTACTATGCTGTTAGAACTTGGATTTAAATCTATGTCTGGGAAAATAAATTGTTGTCTGCTTGCCAAGGGTTTTATTGGGATTTATAGTCAAAACCAGACAGACATACACCACGCTGTTCAGCTTTAGTCTCTGCATCTTGTGTGGTTGACACTGCACATGGTTTTCACAGCCCAGATTTGCAAGTCTAATATCTGTAAATCTAAATATCCTTTTGTCAAAATTGAACTCCTTCCATATTTGTTCTTTTCCCAGCTCTCTAAGAGCTTCATTTTTAGCTCATGACTGCTCCTGCCCGTTTGCTTTTATGCATGCACGCTAATCTCATTTCAGTTTTTCAGGCCAGTGAAAGGGAGAATTTAAGCAATGAGAGCAATGCAAGACAGCCACAGCTGACCAGTGACGTAAGCTGGACTGAAGCTGCATGCACACACTTTTTTTCCCTCACCTCTATATCCACTTTTCCACCGTGGGATTAACCATCAATGGCTCCTCAGTGTGAATATATGTATGAGGGCAGGAGAAGCCAAGAGATTCTTCTTGCCTACATCATATCCTTGTATTTAGTAGACATATTATCAATTTTAGTCTCCTCCCCTTACTCATTTCTTAAAATAAGTTCAGACATGACGCAAGATTTACTGCTTTCATTTATTAAATGATTTTTGTATGAAAAAATAGGTTAGCACAAAAAAGTAATTTTTCCAATGAATATATTACAAGAGATGATATTCCATAGCAACATCAGGCTTTGAAATACTTCAAGAGCATGCTTCGTGCAACATCGAATGTGCCCAGGAACAACACACTGACAAAATCCAAATAATCTGGTGTGTTTAAGTTAGCTGATTTTAAATACCGGTATATTATTTCTAAGATACTATTATAGGTTATTCTGACATAATTTTTTTCCCTATAAACATCACTAGAGGTTCCAGTTTGATTATTACAGTGCTTATTTTTTGTCCTCTTCTGTTGCCTTTAAAAGCAGTTCTGCCCATTAACACCCGACATGGTGTTCTGGATCTCTAACTAAATAATGACCTGGTTGCTATGTCTCTATTGTGCTGACCTGCTGACAGCTTCAATTAAACTGCTTGTATCATTTTTAGCAAAGCCCCGCTTGCCAACCCCCCAACTGGGATTTCACCAGCATTTAAATAGAGCTTGGTTGACAGCCTTTGCAGAAAAGCTGAACAAAAAGTTCCATAAATTTAAAGTGAATACATTACATTGCTCAGCTTAGCTGTGTCTGAAAAAAATCTAAAGTTGAAAATGAGCAGTCACTTATACTGCAACCATGTCTGCTCATGAACAGAGCTGAACACCATCAGTAATCACATCACAAAGGTGATATGTTGGTAGTCCAGATATGATGTGTACTTGTCAGAGCACAATAAAACACATCTGCCTCAGCAACTGTGACACATGTAGGAAGTGCAATTCGGCTGATTTGTGCAGTTCAGTGGGTTTTTCACTTTGCACTAAGGCTGTTTCCAGCTAAGTGGCAGCTCGAAACTAGTGACACTTATAGACAGAGACCTACAAAGACAACAAAAAAAAAATTGTGTGGGCAGCAGATTTTTGCCTGATAACATCCAAGGTTAACATTATCCCTAACAGCAGCAGCTTCTGCTTATTTACTTTTATTTGAATTCACTTCTATAATAACCAGGGTGTGTTGTTGCAGCGCAGTTTGGAAAATACTGGGAGCACAGCAGCTGATCTCTCTCTGCTTTGCTGTGCAGTCACAGGGTCAAGTTATTGTAGTCACATTAAGGGGGGAAGAAAAATAAAACAGGGAGGAGGAGGAAATGATTTTCTGTCATTTTTCCCTGTAGTGTGAAACGTATGTTCAGCCCTGGAACACAAAAAACATGAGGGTTTAGCAAGAGCTCAGAAACGCATCAACACACCGGCATCAACACACCAGCATGTCGCAGACTGAGTGTGGGAAACATGAAAGAAGTGCTGCCCTGTAACCTGACTGTTAACATCCAGCTTTTACCTGTTCGCCTTTACATTACTTCTCCAATGATATCAGTTTTAATTATAGAAAGCTCAACCAAATGAATCAACTCTAGAAACATCTAATTTCCTTTTAGGATTAATGAAGAATTTTAAATTACATTGAATTAATGGCATTACAAAAGGTGTAAAAATGTATTTCCTAGTTTAGGTAGTAAAAATGTGTTCTGTCTATTTGTACATTCAACACACTCTAAGTAAGAACTAAATTCTCCAATTTGATTAGGGTTAGTATTGATACTAATTTTTTTTAATGGGTCAGTAACTGCACTGCAAAAACAATCCAGAAATAAGTAAAAAATGGCTTAAATTAAGTATATTTAGCCTTAATTTGAGCAGGTAAATAAGATGATTTGCCAATGGAATGAGTATTTTTACTCTTAAAATAAGATAGTTAGATAAGATTTACTTGAAATAAGACGATAAAATAGTTTTTTCTTATTTTAAAAGGAAATTGTCTTGTTCCATTGGCAAAGTGTCTTACTTACCTCCTCAAATCAAGGAAAAACACACTTATTTTAAGAAAAAATAACTTATTGAGATTTCTTTTTTTTGCAGTGTGGTGGTAATATTAATGAATGCATGAAACAAACCAGAGCTAACTGTACTAAATTAGTTCTTTCATTAGTTGTCTAATCTTATTCCCTGACAAAATGATGGTTTCTAGCATTGCCAGAACATTCCTTTAATGCTCAAGGATAAGTACAGTTCTTCAGCTCTGTAGCCCCCTTTTAGGTATGAAATTAAACCTATTCTATACACATGCTGAAACTTACAGGGTAAAGTAAAAAAAAAATACAGAGAGAGCTGTGAAGCACAGGAATAATCCCTTGAGATATAAAAAAAAAGACAGAAAGAAAGAAGATGGCAGAGAATATGCAGAAAAAGAAAAGGAGGGAGTTTGCCTCCTGTCTCAGAACAGAGGAGGATCAAAGGTTTGTGCTCTGCATCTCAATGGACATCCGGTCACCAATACTGATGAGCCAGGGCGTGTGATGCTCCATTCACAGCGTTTATATCTTATGGGAAAACAAGTGGTCATTGTGTGCAAATAATTAAATGTCTAGATGGTAGAATTATACCTTAAAAAAAAAAAATCTAAATTTATGTTTTTAACAGGCAAAAACCTAAGCTTTAATATTTGTTAGTGTTAAGTAGATCCAATTTTTGGTGTCTGCACAAGTATTTTCTTACGTCTAATTATTTACTCTAAGATGGCTTTTCTGCCTTTCAAAAAATGGCAGTATTTTCTCTCACTGAAAAAAATGCACACCAAAGTTTTTAATTATCAAAAGCCTTTATAGATCACATCAAAAGTTGCTACTTTTGCCTTCTGCATGTGCAGCTCCATTCATTGTGCTCATATTCTTGCCATCCTCTAAGCAATGTAGTCTGAACCACTATAGATTTTAAGCCTGTATAGTAGCAGAGGGAAATCTGAAGTCCAATATGCAGCATGAAACGTTCGCAGAGTAAGAAATCCATTTACCAAACAAGCCAGTGTTAAAATAACACGGAATAAAATGCAAATTTACTCTGCAAACAAGGCAAAGACATTTCTGTCATTCGGAGGAACAAACTGTATATTTTGCAGCAATAATGACAACAGACTTCATCAGCACTGATGGGGAGGTGTTGGCCTAGTGGATAAGAGCAGTGCGCTTGTGCTCTGAGAAGGTTCCAAGTACCCGGTTTGAATCCCTCTGCCTCCACCCTGGGTTCCTGAGTGTGACCCTTAACCTCCGATTGCTCCCCGGGCACTGCAAAATGGCAGCCCACTGCTCCCTCAGTGAGTTGGTTAAATGCAGAGGTAAATTTCTCCAATGTGAAATCAATAAAGTTTAATATTCATGACTACATTTAAATAAAACCATGTTGCCATTTATTTTATTCTACATTCGGTTGACATTAGGAATGCAATTGAAGCTTAAGAGAAATGTAGAGAAACAACTGTCAAATTAATTTATATAACTGCCCTCTCCTGTACAGTATTTGATCTTTCAGCTTTGTCAATTAACAAAGCGTGGTTGAAACTGCACATCAGCGGCACTAATGATCAAAGGTTTTGTGTCAGATTATTTTCAGCAATAAAGGTAATACTCTAGATGTACTTTGGAAAGGTGTTGTACAGCAATAACTGAGCACACATTCTTAAACAGTTAAATCTGCCCTGCAACCTGCTAAGCAAGGACATATCTACCAGAGTTATAAATCTTTCATCTGTGAGATAAACACAAACTAAACAGAGCATCAGAAAATGCTGAAAAAGAATGCATAGGGTCTATGCTCTGGCGTGTAACTGGTATGTAATCCCTGCTTACAAGGTGGCAAAAAAATAAATCATCTTGTTTTCAACAGGGTGCCTAAATCCAGAAAACATATCTTTTTAAGACTACTACTTTCATTGTCAGAAAAGGATGTGAAATAAATTTAGAAAAGAAAAGTAATGATGCAATTATAAATACAAAAAAAAAAATCAATGGCCCTTTTTTTTTCTACTTGTATTGAAAAATATATACTCAACATTTATCTTTAATGTTTTAATCATTTTGGCAAAATATTCCAGGGCAAAGGTTTTAGCATTAACTTTCATTTGTGTGTTTGTCTATCACAGATGGCTACAAACTCCTCAGATGAATGGTCATGACCTCCAACGGGATTCTGTCCCTTTTACTTGAGAGCCTATTAATTGTCTGCAATTATCCTTTGCATGCATGGCAGCTGCCAGAGTTATCTTTCTTGTTCCCACCTGGATAAAAATGCCACAGTGATAAAGGTTGACTGCGACATTCACTATTTATTGCACAGTAGAGCTTGTACAGTTTGTCATATCATCTTTTGAAAAGAAAACATTTATGACTTATGGAGTCCTTCCTGATTCCAACTTCTTTCTCTGATAAATGTTTAATTTTAGGTGAAAGGATTTTTTTTTTATTCACAAAAATGACAGACAGCGCCTGGAAATTAATCCACTCTTTGAAAAATTATTTAGAATTTTGCAAAGTAGCTTGTTTAATGTGATTAAAATGTGTTATTCATTTTCACTGGACTAATTGATATTTCACTTAGTGCATTCAAACATCTTTAAAATTTAGTGCAAATTTAATGAAACAAAATTACATCAGAAAAGAAACAAACTGAGGAACTTATAAGGCAACAATATAAATATATCAAAAATAGTTATTAGAGAACTATCCTTGTTACAAAAATGGTACAAAGGTTTTGTCCTGCACTAGAGAGAAGGACAAATTTTTGAGTTCCTCTACCGATTTCACAGCCTTGTATCCCAGCTGCTTTAGTACCTTTTGACACATGGTTTGTGTGAAATCTACAATGTCATACGACAGTTTCAAACGCCAACTCTCTGCATTAGCTGCTGAATCCCTTACTGTTCCAAACTTGTGTTTTGCTGAAGGTTCATTGCTTCCTCGAGTATTTGCACGTATCCAGTGTTTCACATTTTTATCCATATGCAGCCCAAGAAAGTCATAAATCTCCTGAGTCTTTAGTAGAGGATTTCGAGCCAAATCCTCGTATCGAACCAACATGTACTTCCCTTTCAGCCAGTGGGGATGACTAAGACCAGTTGAAACTGAACCATAGAAGTCCTCACAGATAACTGTGAGCTGATTCATGTCTAGATTATAGGGCCTTCTCCCTGTGGCCCTCCAAATGCGCCACAAACGGTATGGGTCCCTGAATGTTTCAATCCGGGATGATAAAATACCACGTGGGTCTCTCACAAGTTGAATGACTTTGATATTCAGCCGGGGGTCTTCAACCAAAGCCCGCAGATCTCCAATTTCCGGAACTCGAACCACTTTGATTGCCACATGCTTTTTCTCATGACAGGCCTCTGTTGCTAAAGTCATGTTTAAGGTTGAGCATTTCTTCACACAGTCTCCTTCTTCCACGTTAACATCCCCTGGACCAAAGGCATCACAGACAGGCTGCTGGCACAAAGCCCGGCTGGCACCACGGCGGAACAGCTTGTCCGTGGTGTGGTTTGTGGGTGTCGGTTTTATATAGTTCTCTAGGAAATAGAGATCGCAACCATACAGGCTGCGCAGTAAGTCTCGACTAGCACCTAATGTCACGCGGCGATCTGTAGGGTTACGGTTGTGTGACTGACGTGGGACCAACGTGGCATAAACATGATAAAGAGGCTCAAACAGGTAAAATATCTCCTGGTGCTGGTTCAGCAGCTGGCCAACAAAGGAGGAGCCACTGCGAGTGGTGGCCAGGACCAGTATGTGAAGTTTACGGGTGGCATTGACAGAAAAGTAAGGGTAGTCATCACAGCCAGCCCCACCTGCTGTTCCCCGCTCAAAGGAAGGATCTGTCTCCTGAGCCCCAAGACCACAGTTCTGGGGGCTGGGTAGTGGGCACAGCTGGAAAGGCTTGGAGGTGAGCGTCCGGATGGCTGTGTACTGGATGGCAATAGAAGCCAGAGCCAGCAGAATTACTGACTTCCAGGAACATTGCATGGCTGAAGCACTTCATCTAGACAGAGATGCCTATGCCAGGTCCCCCCTGTGAACAAAGAAGATTTTGTCTTTATTGCAGGAAGCAAGGTTTATTTTAAGCAATTTGATTTAAAAATGTTCTGGTTATTTTAACTAAAGTACAAAACTTTCAGGTAAATTACATATTTTCATAGAATAAATGAATACTATCAGATATGTGATTGCAGTTAGTGATAGAGAGAGAACATAACGTCTATTTTGATAGATTTTCTAGAGAGGAGTAATGACATAACCTGAACTGTGACTGTTTTTAGAACTGACTGTGAGTCATCCATGGTTTAGTGCCACCCATATCATATTTACTTATGATTCTACCACAGATTTTTCTATTGATTTTCATGCTTATGGGGAAATGAGGTTACATAATTATATGCTGAACAAGAAAAGAACAAAAATGGATCTGAATAATAAAAAAAAAAAAAAGCACTGCAGCCACAAGACAGAATAACTTGTCCTAATCATTCAATTTACTTCCCTTCTCTCCTGCAAGCTCTGCAGTTTCATTTCTGGAAATTAAAATACATAAAAAAGTTCTAAAAGGCTACTTTTGGTGACTTTGAAAATATGGCCTGCCAAAACATGTGCAGCAGCACAAGAGCCCAGATTACAGCATAGTAAACACAGTATTAAGATTTTTTTTATTTTTTTTTTATTTTTAGATTGATTATTTTGTCATTTTATACAAGACTGTATACAAAAAGAAATTTTGTGTTAAACAGCTCTAGACAATTTCCTTTTTTTAAAGTGCAGCAGTAAAACAGTAATAAATACATAAAAAATGTAATATAAACATGTGACTCTATTCAAACATATATTTACTAATATAAACCAATTTTCATTTAAAATAGCTACAAAAATCGACTCCTTTCCTTTATGAAATGAGAAATGTTACAAGCCCAAACAGTATACTAGAATGGTCCATGAAGCACATCTTTTACTATGCAACTAGGCTTGTTCTTTGTCTGTTTAATCATGTCCGCATCTAATTTGGCTTGGCAGGAGAGACAAATTATTGAACAGTAAGCTCCTTCACATTAGCAGAAAAAGTGCCAGAAAGGTAAAGTATGTAGTTTAAAGCTTCATTGCCAATGTCATGTCAAGGAGAAGTATTGCTGTAAGTGAGTAATGACATCATTTAAACAACAAGGAGTTTTAACTAATGCTCAGAATGATAAAATAGGCCCATAGTAAAGTGAACTTTAACTGTGTAAATAAAGCAGCACTCCAGAAGCCACACAGAATAGAATAAAACTCAACTTAAGTGCCAGGATACGTCTGTATGATGAAGAGATAATGCATTTTTAAGTAACATGCATGCCTAAAATGAAAATGCTAGATTTGTTACATAATAACTACTGTTTAGATTTAGTGACTTACTGTAACGGATGCGTTTTAACGCAGGGATGATGCTTTGTTTAATACAAACATCATTTAGTAAACGGTGTTTCACAAACAGAGAACATATGCGCTTTCTACTCAATGACATTTTGAATTAAAAGGCCCACTTCACTGCAGCGGGGACAGGTTAGAGACTGTCAAAGATTTTTCCGTGATGCAGGCAGCCTAACCAAAGCAGCGATAAGACAGAATAATTACATCCTAGTCCTGCAGAAATGCTGGATTTTCGATACAGAATAAATAGCATCTAAAACCAGGTATTTATCAATATCAAATACTGATTGAGTCTTATTCCGTTATACCTTGTTGTCGGTTGCTGCGTCCTCATGATGCGCGCTGCGGTGCGTCCACGAATAACTGGCTGTGTTTTAGTCCTTAAACGTCTCCCCCTTGTTTTCCAGTCAGAAGGGAAACAAACGCGCCTGGCAACCCCCCCGACATTACATCCAGGGCGAGGCGTTCGAGTTCAATGGTTTGTGTCGGACACACAGATTAAAACAAATGAGGAAAGGTGATGGAGCAACGCAGGAGCGGAAGCGTTATTAATAAACCAACCAGGCTGACCGAGGTAAGCAGCGGCCAAACTCCCTCCTTCAATGATGCGGAGAGGCAGAAAGTGAGGTAGGCAACACAAGGAGCGACTGTCTGGACCACCCCCGACCCCTCCCCCTACCCACCTGCCTCTCTCTCTTTTTCTCTCTCTCACGCAGACACAGTCACAGTGGCGGTTCTAGACCAAATGTTCCAGGGGGCCAGGAGGAGACCAGCGTGCTTCCATGGGGGCACAGAAAAGCATGAAGCAAAAAAACTGGGTATTCAAATATATTAAAAGAGCTGCATGAAGTGAAATTTCTTCAATTAGATTTAGTTAAAATGATGTCTCTTCTAACTGAAAATACTTTATTTTTGGCTCAAAAATTTTCATTTGGGCTACGTTCACACTGCAGCCTGAAGTCACCAAAATCCGATTTTTTTTCCCATATGCGACCTGGATCTGATCTTTACATAGCTGTCTGAACAACACAGATCCGATTTTTTCCAAAGCGACCCAGGCCACTTAGCTATGTGGTCCTCAATCCAATACAAATCTGATCTTTTCAAATGCGACCTGTGTGTGAACGGCCAGGTCGCATTCATCCGACCTGAACGTCATTAATACCCGACAAACGTCACTATTATCCATCATGCTGTGCAGAAGCGGCAAGAAAAACAACAACCATGGCAGATGAAGATGCGGGCAGCAGTATTTATGTTTAAAAATATTGAAAAGATTGAGTTTTTATGGTTGGAAAAGACCGTTGGATGCGTGCACTTCCATCCATTTTTACTTCCGGATAAAAAGAGCATTTAATGACTACTGCTCACACAGGAGATCACATGTTGCATATATTTGGAAATATGAACGGCAACGCGAAAAAAATCAGATTTCACAAAAAATTCGGAATTGAGTATTAAGGCCTGCAGAGTGAACGTAGCCACGGATTATCGTTAAAATCATAACAAGTACTAATATCTACATAAATTGGTTATTTAGTAGGTTTTTATTAAAATAGTAATTTATCTATGATTTCACCAAAGACTCCTAGATGACTTGCAGAGACACATAATTTTTTCTTTAACGCATAAAACACAAAATCTATTTCTGCTTTAATTCTGTACTTCTCTTTAATGTTACCATATTGATGTGCATAATTAACCACAGAGTTTTTGTTGTCAAGTAATTGTTAATATATGAAAAATTTTAATGTTTTTTATATTCCACTTCAGAGTATTACTGTTGCCACCATGTGTATTAGAGGGAAATAAATGTTAGGGGTGGACACAGAGGTGGCCAATGATTGGCAAAGGGTGGCCATGGCCACCCCTGGACCCCCATCTTAGTCCGCCTCTGAATATCAGTAAGCAGAGACTGCAGTTGCTTAGGGCCCCCCGACCTCTTAGGGGTCCCGTCACTGACACCTGGTTGGCCCGCTATTTAATTGTGGAATAAGACGTCTGTTACTAGGTTGACTGACCAGACCGTATTTATACTGCAAGCATTCAACATCATGGTGAGCCTTTTAAACACCAAACCAATAGCAAAGCAAACAGTGGTACTTTTAATTGCTATGCTAATAACTGTGTATAGTTCATTAGACGGTTGGTTAAAAATACACTCACATAATATGTTTCAGATCCCAATAAAGATCTTAAAAGAACAATGTATTTGAGTATTTTATTTTTTACAATACGAGTTGGAATTATGGGTAATCCAGAGTGTAGATTAAAACCATAACCGTTATGTATAATGTGTACTTAAGCGGATTCCAGAAAAGAAAAAGCAAAGAAGAGCTGCTGGAAGAACGGAAAAAACTTCCCAAAATAAATAAATCAACTATCACATGAGTGGTTAGGTAGATACTGACTTTAATATTGGAATTAAATATAGGAGTCTTTCAAAGAGTAGACATAAAAAGGAGGTTAACATAAAAGGTAAGAGAAGGGATGCACTCAGGCTCTTATTGGAATTGTGAAACCCTTCAAGATAAAAGAGATTAGATTTAACACTGAGTTTCAAAAGATTAGAAGTAAGCCATACCAGATTAACTCAAAGATGGCGGCTAAAGTTTTGGACTTGAGCTTGAGCGATACCTTAGTCACAAAACTAAAGACTTGACCTAGACTTAGGGTCTAAAAGCTATGTCTTTCTACAGAGCAATATACCTTAATTCAGTGCGGTGACAGGACCTAATTTACCCCTGATATAATGTTAATTCAATGTAGCCTTGATCTAGACTAGACGTCTACAATTTTTAAAATCTATAGAGCCATCTTGCCCTGAGTTAAGCTAAAAATCTGCTGTAGGAAATCTGTTGCAATAGTAAAGAACCAACAGTTTATTTATATTTTTAGGCCTTACAACAAGGGAAAATAAAATACTTTTCTTTAAAAGGAAGAGTGGATTTCCCCTATACAATATTATTTGATATCTATCTTTATTAAAAAGATAAATAATATAAATGAAAAGAAAGAGCAAATATATAAAAATCATGGATCTGAACCAGAAAAATGTGGCTTGCTCTCTCAATGTTGGAGGAGAGTTCCTACCTTTAAGTGTAGGATTTTTTTGTGTGTGTCTTGCTTTGCCAATATAGCTCTGGAAATATATGTCCCAGAACTACAGAAGACAGAGCTGAGCCTGAAAGCTAAGCTCTTGATTTAGAGGTTCTAGAGTCCTTGTCCTGCCTATTGTATTAAATCTCAATTATGACAGAAAAAACAAGATCCTGGATACAAGCGGCTGAAATGAGCTTTCCTTGCAGGATGGCAGAGCACTTTCTTAGAGATAGACATCTGTTCTGGATGCCTCCCTGGCCGCTTCTTTGGAAGAGGAAAGAAATAGCAAAAAAAAAAAAAAAAAAAAGGTTTAGGGCTGTCATGTGCATAGAGTTTGCAGAACTGAAAATAGAGATGTGGTTAAGATAAGCTGCACTGCAGAAAAGAACATCTTCTAAATTTAGACTACACATTGGCCAAAGACTAGAGCTTCTAGTTTTTAAACATTGGTTAGAAATAACTGATCCATAAGATTGTTTTTAAGCAAAAAAAAAAATGATTAATGACAAGTTTGAATAGTGCTTTATCCGAGCTATAGTTGAGAGGTGTGCTGGTACCTATCTCCAGTTGTCAATGGACGCACTTAAGGAGAATTTAGAGAAGCCAAATAACCTAACAGTCGGAGGAAGCCAGAGTACCCAGAGAAAACCCACACCTGCACGGTGAGAACATGTTAACTCCATGTCATGATCTGGCCTGTTTGCTCTCCCCTAATTAGTAATTCCTATCACCTGCCCTCTTCCTTCCCTGCCTCAATTATAATTTATTCCCCTCACCTGGATCCTCTGGTTTATATTCAGTTCAGCCTGAGCATTCGGGGCTAGATCATTGCTTGTCTCTCTGTCAGTCTTTCTGTTCAGTTTTCATTTGGTTCATGTCCTGGATCCTAGCTGCCAGTGGAAAGAGGGTTTTAGTGTTTGTCTCGTCTCCTGATCGTCCACTGTTCCTCCCCTGCGGAGTCCTCTGGGTTTTTGGCTCATTATGGGGGGAGGTTCAGTTTTTATCTAAGTAAGCCTGGCTCCAGGGAGGAGACCAGTTTAAAGTCTGCTTCAAGTTCCGGTTCCTACGTCCTGTCTCGGCTACCCTCTTCCACTGTGCCTACCTGTCTGCACCTGATCCTGTCTGCTCCTGTGCGTGACCAACTGGTCATGCTTCTGGTCCCAGTAAGACTCTGAACCCTCCTGGAAGCCTGTGGATGTTTTTAAGTCTGGATCCTGCCACCTGTCTCTGTTCCTGTCTGATCTGGATCCTGCCTGTTCCTGTCTGTTCCTGTCTGTTCCTGTCTGTTCTGGATCCCTCACCAGGATCAGCTTCCAGCATCACCTCTGGGAGTGCAGCACTGGGGACACTCATGGTCTGGACTGTTAAACCAGAGTGTCTGAGATTGGGCGGTGCCCCACCCCCCCGCCTGCAGTGTCCGCGAGCCACAGCTCCGCTTTCGTTTGTTTTATTTTAATAAACCTTTAGAACTTTCCTACTGACTGGCTCTCCTGAATACTGGGTCCACTGTCCCCGTTTCATGACACTCCATGCAGACCCCAGGCCGGGAACTGAACCCGGGACTTTCTTGCTGCAAGGCACCAGTGCTACCCACTGTGCCACTGAGCAGCCCTGAATAGGAACATGAGATAAAAAAAATAAAAAATAAAATAAAAGTTTAAGGAAATTACAGGCATAACACATTCAATAAAAAAAGTGCACTCAAACCAGATAAGAACCAACTGATGTCAAAGGGTGTGTCAATAATCACACTGCAATGCAGTAAATAACTGAAAGTAGGTTAACAAACAGTGCGTTTTCGAACTATATGAGTATTAAATTGTTATAACCTATAGTTGTTTTCTGTCCGCCTCAAAGAAAAACATTTGCAATACAACTAAAACCACCTCTTTCCTCTAGATGCAGTTCATTTAATGACATTGCTCTATTACATTATTTCTAACGGCTGGACAGTACCTGAGACTTCTCATGGCCCAAAAACAGATTTAAAAAGTGAGGTTGCTTCCCTGTGCAGCTGTTAAAAGAGCAACTACCTCTTAAGTATGAGACTTTATTATCATGCTCTGCTGACATTCCTCCTCCCTGATCGGAGATACTGGGCATATGTTTTCAGTCTGGGCACAGTGTGGTGAAGGGGGCTTTTTTAGGTAGATATTCTCAAACCACTCGTTTTCACAGTTCAATGAGATAGTACTTAAATACCACATGATTTTGATGAAGGAATACCATTATTCATTAATATGTAGATGTTGTGTTAGGATGATGTTATGGTTTACACAATCATGAGAAAGAATATAAAATTGATAGTTACCAGAAAGGTAGTGAAAGGGTCCACTAGAATTGATAATAATATCATCATCATTAAGTGTTAGAGGATTTTATGGTCAAATTCAAACCCTTTCTTTGTTTGTTTTATTTTGTTCGCACTTGATCTGCCTGTGATGGAAACCTTGTATGTCTGAAACCATTCCTTTATTTTACATTTTGGTAGTTTGTCTGTCTGCTATATTAACCAATACTATGTGTTGAACTAGA